TGGACAGGGTGTGAGGTATTGCTCTTCATTTTCCTAAGCCTCATATTTTCATCCACCTCTAGATCTTGGTGCCATCTAAATGCTGGTGCTCTGTGGCCAAGCCTCAGTTGCTCCAGTCTGGTTACACCTTTGATGAGATGCAAAAGAAAACAAGGTTTTTGCCCTTTTCAAAGTTGTAAAAAATCATTTCAGCAGTGGAAATCTAAGGAAAATCCCTGTTTTCTGGCCCAACACAGCCCTCAGCCCTATGTCCTTCAGCTAGTCTGGACTACACTTTCTATCAGCCTCATACAGTTAAACCTGAAGGTCAAGAATGATGGAAGTTGTAATCCACAACATTTGGAGGGCCACAGTTTGGGGAACAGCTGACATAGGGCATAGTTTATTATGTATATCTCATTGGAATGAATGGAAGTCCATGTGTTCTCGTGAAAACAGCTGGACAAAAAGGTCTGTAGTCTTTAAACTACTTTAAAATTGAGCTCCCTTGAATCACCATAATATTGTATATTGAACATATGATTAATTTCTTGAGTTGCAAATGTATTGTAACTTTAAAGGTCTGTATGGACTACATCCCTCACATCGGGTACTTCTCATTTGTTAAGGGCACCTTCACATACATCCATTCACAGCTGTTGGCAGCACAGAAGCAAAATGGTCCTACTGGGAACAGAAACTGGAGTGTAAGTCCTAGCTCAGCCATAGACCATGTCACCCTCTTCGCTGTATTACCCACAATTATTTAATGGGGAACCTATCCTCACCGGCTTGTCATGAAGACCATGTACAAGATCAAGAACCAGTGCGATATAAGGCCAATAGGTTTTAGAATTAGGGTAGGGGAGAACTTTCAGCCCAAGGGCCAAACTTAGTTCTAGAGAGGTTTTGGGAACTGCATCCCATTGATTGGGAGGGGTGGCGGACAACATACTGGGACCAACAATACCGCTATATTATACTCATAGTTTTTAGCGCCCTCAACTAAGCCTTTGAAAGGGAGGTCTCAAGCTTTTGGAATAAGGAAAACCCTATGTGAATGCTCAGAAACCACCCAATGATGGTGATCTCAGGAAAAAGGCCTAGCCCAGTGGTTCTTAACCTTGGGTTACTCAGGTGTTTTTGGACTGCAACTCCCAGAAGCCTTCATCATCAGCTGTGCTGGCTGGGGTTTCTGGGAGTTGCAGTTCAAAAACATCTGAGTAACCCAAGGTTAAGAACCACTGGCCTAGCCAACTGGAAAAGCTCAGAGGGTCAGGCTGAGTTTAAAGGAAGGCCAGATTCAGCCACAGGGCTTTAGGTTCCCCACTTATGGTTACAGATTCAAATGAACCAGCTGGCTTGGCTGAAATGGAGGGAGTAGGAAAACAAACCAGTTTGGGTATCTTGATCTCCTGCTGGTGCAAGTCAGATGAGCAGCGGAAAGCAGAAGAGTCTCCATTCCAGTGCCAGTAAGTAGGCTTTGGGAAGGCAAGGCATTCTGATCCACGGGAAGCTCCATGCTCTCCACCCCACCTCCCCAGTTAGTCTATCTCTTGGAAGACAGCTTGGTTTTGGGAGTTGGCAGAGAGCGGTATTACCCCAGGGAGCAGGGCTAGGCTCTGTTCCTATTCCAGGAAAGCAAAGGAGTGGACTGAGATGAGGGGAAGTGCTCCATTTAAAAAAAAATCAGCAAAAGAGCTGGGATTTAAATAGCTCTTGGAAGTGCTACACTCTGTCTTGGAAGCCCTGGTCCTCCATCCCTGTGGAGTGAGAGTCTGATGAGCTTTGATATGGGTAGGGGAACCTGGACTTCTGGAGGACCAGCCTGCTGGGCACTCTTCTTCACTCTGGGGTGGAATAGAATCTGCCATGGTCGTTTTGGGGTGGAGCTGGAGTATAAGAGAGGGTTTGGAAAACAGGATTCCTGGGTCATATTCATTTCATGTAAACCAGTAAGCAGCAGCTTTGATACACAACACATGCCATTGGGTTATTTCTCGTCATGCTCCAGGCCTGTGTCCTTCTTTGATCCAAGAGCCATCAAGTCTTAAGGCAGGAACAAACCACCTTTTGTTTGACTTGCTAAAGGAAAAGAAGAATTGCAAGGCACATGTCCCACCCCCTCTTTCAGACGGTTTGAGGAAACAGGAAGGGATGGGTTGTGGGGGAAGGGCTGCAATCAGAAAGCATGTGTTGTTAGAACATAGAAGCTAGACATGGGTATCTCAGGATCATGCCTCTGCCATGAACTCCGTTGGAGGTACTTTGCATACAAACCCTGTAATGGCTACAGGTAGAATAACTTGCCTTCTAGCAGTTTCTCTCCTGGGCTTAGTGTCCCAGCTATAAGCAAGGACCTGGGGCAGTTGTGACTCGGATGTGACTGCACCATAAATGGTTTCACTTGATTTTTTAGTGTGGCTATGAGGTATGCAATGATTGTAGTTGTTGGCATTTTCTTTGAAAAAGAAAACAGACTAGTTGTCTGGCCTTTTTGATTGCAGATAAGCCCAATGAAGTAAACGATGTTATCTGAGGGTGCTTCCAGACTTTCAGAGAGACCCAGTCATTGCTTTTCTGCTGTCAGCAATGTGCAAAACAGCAATGGCCGGTGTAGCGCTTTTGATTTAAAAGCACCCTGCTGTGGTCATTCCACTAGAGGGCACCATGTGGTTGTGTGGGTGAAGAAATCAAGCCACACTAGTAGCATCCTTATTTAATTCATTGGTTTAAAAAAAAAGTAAAGCCTTTCAGTATAAATGTTGAAACTGATCTGTTTTAAAAAAAGCAACATGCCAAAACAGAGATAACTGGGGAGATAATAGTAAAAGGAATTTCAAGTGAAAAAGTGTGACAGCAGTCAACTGAAACATAACTCCCCACATCAAATGTAAACACTATTTTTTTTTTAAAAAAAAAAGCAGAACATGAGTTCTAAGTCAATGCAGGTATCCAAAGACTGCTGTGCTTTCCTTCCCAAAAAGGGTTTTCTGAAACCTCATTAGGATACGTGGGATAGGAAAAGGACAGGACAGCAGCAGGTTGCTGGCAACATCATGTAGATCACTGGTTCTTAACCTTTGTTACTCAGATGTTTTTGGACTGCAACTCCCAGAAGCCTTCACCATCAGCTCTGCTGGCTGGGGTTTCTGGGAGTTGCAGTTCAAAAACACCTGAGTAACAGAGGTTAAGAACCACTGATGTAGATGACTTAGAAGGGAGTGGATAAAAGGTGACAATTCCAGAATAAATGTCAGTGTGGAAGCACCCTGAGGCCTGAAGGAAAGTGATGGGATCCCAGTGGCTACGGAGAGGCTGTTTTCTGAGCGTCTTATCACTTTGTTCTTTTCCTTGGACTGTAGGCCCATCTTCCCACTGCCCTTAGCCTCTAACTGCCTGCGTCTCATAAATTCCTAATAATTTCACCCTTAGCTTGAAAAAGTTACTTGTTCGGGGTCAGAAGACTTTGATTTTCCCAGCTGGCATGGCCAGTGACACTACAGTAGTGGAGTTGTTGTCCAAGAAAATAACTTTCTCAAGCAGTAACCCCACATCAGCTGTGGAGATAAGATGAAGTTTATATCTAACAAATCATACTTGATCACATCTATAGACAAAATAGCCAGCTAAACAGTCAATTAAATTCATTTGTAGAATTTAATTGTCATAGTTATCCTCCGTGTGGTGAACATGGGAAGTCTGGTTTTGAGAAAAATTGGGGATTATCTTACAGATAAAGAAAAATTCCACACTGATTCCTTAATCCTCTTACACTGCTCTTTGTAGCCACGATAGACGGGACTATTGCCACCATAGAAGGGAAACATCTGCAAGGTTTCTGTTTCTCATTTTAATGTTGTCTAATTCAGGGATATGAAACCCAAATTGGTTAACAGGCCAAATTCCTCATCAAGGCATTATGACAGGGTGCTTCAATACTTTTACAGACACTTGCAATACCCATCCCACTTCAATCTAATTAACATAAATCTCTCCAACGTATCTTCCAGATGCTCACCACAACTGCAGCACTGGGTGGTCTTGCACCACCGATGTTTCATTTCCTAAAATACACAACGGCATGAGAAATGCCTGCAAAGAAAGAAGGCTCTTTAATGGTGGGCCAGGAGCCCACCTTGTGGGGTTTGCTTGCATCCACATCCCAGTTTTTGCAAGTTATGTCTTATGCCATTACCAAGAGCAGACACATTTGTGAGCACATAGATCACCTTGCCTTTTGTGGCTTCTTGGCCAGGTAAATTATGGGGCATGGGAATATATTGCAGATCTCATGTCTGATGCTGCAGCTTTAGTGCCACACTAGAGTACCTGGAAGAAGCTCCCTGAAAAACAGGTACAGTGTGGCATGGAAGAACTTTTGCCAACATCTTGACTTGGGGAATTCTGAAAAGGCATGCCACACTGACCTTATTATGGTCACTTCTTTTGTTCTGCAAATGGGGGTAGAGACCAATATGGGCTCATCTGAGCTACATGATTTGCAGACAACCTTGTACCATCAGCCACAGACACACTGGGTGGCCTTGCACAGATTTCAGTCTCTCCCCCTGCTCTGTCATAAGGGGAATTAGAATTAGCTATTACTTGAAACACCTCTACAACTGCTACTAACACTACTCGCTCAGCTACAACATTTGTTAGCCTTCTCCTAGAAGCTTCCAAGCAGCCCAACAATAGAATCACCATCCCATTTCTGCTTCTATAGGCTGCCTTCATTCATGCATCCAAGCAGTGCATTCATTAACTCTTTCTGCTGAAACAAGGCAAAGGGCAAGGGAGATGAAATGCCCAAGCTGGCATTGTGGGTCTCTCTCTCTCTCCCCCAGGCATGAGCAGCAGGGTGAAACCACCATGTCCTGGGAAGGGGTGGGAGATCACCAGATGAAGGGGCTGTCTTCAAGTCTCTGCTAAAGCAAAGGAAGGGCTGGGAAAAGAGGGTAGGGAAGCACTGGTGGGAGGAGTCAGATGCAAAGAAACTCCTCCCCGTTGTCTCATACCTGGGTCTGGATGCGGTTGAGGCCACGGAACCACAGGATCTGGCCACGGCGCAGCTCCCGTTCAGCATGGTCAATTTCTTCTTCATCCTCTGCCATCTCTTCATCGGTGATTTCATCCTTGCCAGGACCGTGGCCTGCCTCCTTCAGGCATTTGAGTTGGCTGGTAGGGATGGTAGCAATGACCTGCAGAAGGGAGGAGGCAGCGAACCTACATTCTGATCTTTCCTTTCTATATAGGACCAATTATCTGCAGAGCTTGGAAGAACAACTTTTCCGTTCTCTGTGCTGCTCTCTTTCACGGCATTCAAGTGAAATCTTATACTAGAGACATAACTGAGAATTCTGATCAACCTTTGGCAGAAATACCATGACTCAAAACATTTGGGAAAGAGCCAGCCTGTGCAGCCTTTGGCTAACTGCATAGCCCCAGGGGGCTGCCAAAAAAAAAGGGAATGGTAAACCACTTCTGAGTACTCCGTACCTAGAAAACCCTGAAATGTGTTGCCATAAGTTGGAAGTGACTTGACTTTGATAATATGTCATTAATTGATTAATTTATGTCTTAGAAAGAAGGAAATTTAGGAAGAAGTAGCAAAAGGGAGAGGGAGCACAGTTTGGAAAAGTTTCTTTTCGGACTACAATTCTTAAAATCTGGCCAGCATGGGCACTCATCATCTTTTTCAAGCTGCGGGAGGGAGGTACATGGTCCTTTATGCCAGATGATGGTATCCCCTCTCAAAAAGATTCCAGAAGTGTATCTGAACCCACCTTGGCCCTGTAAACTGCATTTCACAGTTTGTTTGGTTTTTTAAAGGGTCTACTAAATGTCATAGCTAATGAGACACTCATTTTTTTAAAATATGCTGGTAGCTCTTTAGGATGGTGTAGGTACCTCACTGTGCCTCCTGGGTCAAGAGCCAGCCTGTCTGGCCTTAGACAAACTTCACCTGTGCCTCCTGGGTGAAGAGCCAGCCTGTCTGGCTTTAGACAAACTTCACAGTCCCAGAAGTGCCCTTAGAAGAAGGGAATGGGAATTTGCTTCTGAGGAGAGATGGGGGCTTTGTATCATATATGAATATGAAGCCATTTGGCACAGGTGGTCGCCCTGATTATCTCCCACCACAAGACCCTGCCAGACCACTTAGTACACAGTGTGCCTTATATGTCACTGGCGTTATCATCACCTGTCAATCACAGCAGTAGCCTGATGGCCACTGCTCTGCCTCTTTGCTCACCCAACCACTCCGCCGCTGAGCAGGGAGACTCGTCCTCTTGCCCCCTTGCTGGAGTGGCTGCATGAGCAAAGAGGTGGGGCTGTGGCAGCCGTGCGATTGGTGTGGTGATGAGGACGCTGGCAACACGCAATGTGCACTGTGTGGTGAGTGGTCCAGCCAGGTCTGGGGGTAGGGGGAGATAATCAGGCCACCTGTGCCAGGGGGCGGCTTCGTATAAGAATACAAAATCCCCATCTCTAGTTCTGAGTAGTACTCTTTCCGGTAACCCTTGAAAGAATAGTAGTGGTAATAGTAATAACAATAATAACAATAATAACAACAACAACAACAACAACAACAACAACAACAACAACAACAACAACAACAACAATAATAATATGGCATTTGAAAAGCAAGGGTGGAGTGCAATGAGGAGCATATCTAGTGGTAGAAGAGCATGGCTTTAGCTGCTCAATGTTGTTTATTGCCTTTTCCTATCCCCATGATAGCAGATTATACTGAATATGTAATTACATAAACAACACTCAGTATACACAATCTGTGCAGGTAAAAAAAAATCTGCCTTTATTTTTTAGCAGTATGAGGGGGGGGAGAGAAAGAATTTAGATTCTCTCAAAGCAAGTAGGTCCAGCTGGGTGGATTCCACCTAGTGTTTCTGAATAAATGCCATCCTAAACAGAAGTCAGCCAAATCAAAATTCTGCACTGAAGGCAAACACCTTTTTTTATGTAAAGAAAAACTGTAGTCTGCAAATGCCACATTTTTCATACATAGCAAGCAGGCAGGAATTTACATAAAGTCTAAAGTTACATTTCTCATCTTCTGAAATTTTAATTGGGCACTGCAATATACTATATCCTCTAGTGCAACAGAGGAGCTAAAACCTTGATTTTTAGAAATATAGATAAAATGAGATTCTTAGAAGTCTGGTTTCATTCATTCATTCATTCATTCATTCATTCATTCATTCATTCATTCATTCACTCACTCACTCACTCACTCACACATACATACATACATACATACATACATACATACATACATACATACATACATACATACATACATACATACATACATACATACATACATACATACATACATACATACATACATTTTCCTGCCATTTATTTATTTACTTCTTTCTGGAATAACGGGGTGCAAATGGCCTTAGAATACAAGCTCCTTCACATTTTATAGAGCATAACACTGACAACAGATCTTGGGACTGAATACTGAGGATCTTCCCTCCCAGTTAAATGATCCTGCAGAAAGCATAGATGAGGAGATCGGAGTAAGGTTTCTGCTTACCTGTCCCCAGACAAGTTCCCCAAAGCCCACAAAGAGGCACCAGAGCCATTGCTCGGCATTCAGTGGAGAACAGCTGAATGGCTTCCCCCCGAACTGCACAATGACGATCTGTGTAGGGAAAACAGGCAAATGGTGAGAAAAAGCCACAGAGAGAAACAACCCCCCCCCCAATCATGATACTTGGATACATAGGCTCAGGGATGACCTGGTCCACAGCAGCTCCTTGCCAAATTTTTGTAGTATTGTGTTTGAGGGGGAAGATCAACAAGACTGCAAGGAGGTTCAGCTAAGCGGTGATCCAGACAAGATCCCTTGAATCAACTGGATTTATGTAAATTTTTACTGATATCCAGCCATAGGCTCAGCGGGATGCTCCAGCTGAGACTAGTGGATTCAGGGGCATGGTTAGGTGACTGGAAGAACTACTTTTCTAAACGAGAGCTCTCAGATGCCTTCAGCCAGAGTGGCCAAGGCAGTGCTGCCCGAGAGATTCTGGGAGCCATCATCTTTACAGTGACCATTCTAAGGTGTGCAGGAGATGGACCAGTTCAAGAAAGACAAGAGGGGGGAAGCAGGCAGGCAACTTTGACAAATGTGGCAGGAGCAAAGGAGAGCACAATGGTGCTTAAGGAAAAGACCTTTGATGTTTCAGGGCGAGGAGAACCAGAGGTATGAGCAAGGCAGCCACGAGGATACAAGGAGACAGAGCTGCTTATCAGGCAGACAGCAGCCACTTCCTCTTTCTTCTGCAAGGGCTGCTGGGAAATGGGACCAGAGTGACCAGGGGTTACACTCGCTGCACTTCTTTCTTCACCTTTCAATTAAAGTGACGCCTCGGTCCACAGAACTGCCTTTGCTCACTTCTTGGTTTTCCCTTTCTTTCCCATTTTCGGAAATCAAGACCGAGTTCCTTGGAGCAGAGACCTGCCCAGCCCATGTTATTCTGTTAAGTGTCTGTTAAGCACAATAACTAATCTTTTGGAGGGCTGACTGGCATCCACACTGGTCTCATTTCAGCACCAGCTTAAAACATGTCTCTTTGTTCAAGAATCTGAATAGTTTGACTCTAGCCTACTGGGCTGTGGACTTCTGCATATTGCATTGTTGTGTTGAATTGCTTTCAGTCATTTAAAACTATTTTATCATTGCTCGCAGTTTTATTTTCCATACCTTGCCTAATATATCTTGATATAGGGCAGCCCAGAAATTGTAATTAATAAATAAGGATAAGAATCCTGATAATAGCAATAATAATGGAATGAAAACAGGTATATCCCTCCACTTATAGATATGCACACATCCGCCACTTCCACCCATGTGTTCACCCATCCTTTCTTTCCTATGCCAGCCTCATCCAGGTGTGTGCATTCATTGACCTGAGGTTTGTACCTGTATGGCAAAGGTGCCCAGCACAATGCTGCAAAAGATGGGGTTGCCAAAAATACCATCAAAGACATTGCGCTCGCCATGGATTTTCCGGGCGTTGATTTCGTTGAAGAGTTGCATCATGACAAAGGTGTTGAAGATGATGGTGTAGTGCTCCGAGGGTGGGGAGTGCAGGGGAGCATTGCGGCCACTGTCGATGTCAAAGAAAACCTCGCCTGTGAGTGGGGAAGGGTGGTAAAGTAGCGCATCGCAGAGGGGACACCAGACCCACCCAGCCAGACCTCTCCCGCCACCCATCTGGATTGGACCCGTGGGCAGAGTCTCACCCTACCCCTCCCAACTCCAGTGGCCTATGTCATTATAAAAGAAAACCCACCCACAAAGAGGAGGGTAAAGATGATAATGAGCTGGTACACGGCATGGCCCAAAATATTCTTCATCATGGTGCGGGAGATGAGGGGCTTGTTACGTCCGTACGGCTTGCGCAGCAGCAGGGCCTCGGTGGGGGGTTCAGTGGCAAGAGCAAGGGAGGCAAAAGTGTCCATAATCAGGTTCACCCACAGCATCTGCACTGCTTTGAGTGGAGAGTCCTGCAACACAAGGAGAGACGAAGGCACCCAAACACCCCATAATCAATGGATAAGGAAGGGAATGAAGCAGGGACCCTCTTCTTCTTGCCTCCCAAGTCACAAGAGAAGTAGCTTCTTCTGGGACATGTAAACATTCTGGTAGTACCAACCACCAGTTTAAGTCATGCACCAATTTTACATATACTATATATATATATTTGAGTTACGCTGTTTTGAGTTATGCACCACCCATAGCTAGAGCACTCTCAGAGCACTATAAATGTCTTGTCATTCATGCCGACTTGTTATAAATATATATGAATACGCACACACACGTATGCATAATGATGTATGTATAATACATGCACACATATAACAAGTTTGTTTGTTTGTTTGTTTATTTATTTGTAATAAGTCAGCATGAAGAACAAGAAATTGTCCTGTCTGAGATCGAACAGATGTCTTTACCTATCTAGAAAGTCAACTATCTATCTATCTATCTATCTATTTGTAATAAGTCAGCATGAACAAGAAATTTTCCTGTCTGAGATCGAACAGATGTCTTTACCTATCTAGGATGTCAAGGTGCATAGTACCAAAGCCAGTCAAGATAAAATCCCACAAGCATATCTGCTCTTATCTCCTTGGCAGTAAAAATACAACAATAGTAAATTAAATAACTAACCCTTAATTGAAACCACAAATGAGCAGCCCGAGTTGGCCACCTCCAGGCCTCACTAAGTCAAGATATGCTGTTTCCCTCTCTAGAGCAATGCAGCCAAGAATTTGCCTCAATTTGCATTTGGCAACTTAGGTGGCCAAATTTTGTTTTGTAATTGGTCAGCCAGGAAATAGCATGACTTTTGTTTGAGTGTTTGATGTCATAGGCACAGCGCATTAAACAATCTGTATGCCTGGCTGGTTGTTTGAGTGTTTGATGTCATAGGCACAGAGCATTAAACAATCTGCCTGGCTGGAGGGACGTGGTGGCGCTGCGGGTTAAACTGCAGAAGCCTCTGTGCTGCAAGATCAGAAGACCAAGCAGTCGTAAGATCAAGTCCACGCAACAGAGTGAGCTCCCATCGCTTGTCCCAGCTCCTGCCAACCTAGCAGTTCGAAAGCATGTAAATGCGAGTAGATAAATAGGTACCACCTAAGTGGGAAGGTAACAGCATTCCGTGTCTAGTCCCACTGATAAATGCGAGTAGATAAATAGGTACCACCTAAGTGCTGGCTCTATGGCTTGGAAACGGGGATGAGCACCGCGCCCTAGAGTCGGACGGGACTGGACTAAATGTCAAGGGGAACCTTTACCTATGCCTGGCTGGAGGCTTAAAAGGAGGATATATGTATTTGTCTTAACATGCAATCTAACCCAGAGGGTCAGGCTTTGGATGACCATAGTGACTCTCCAGTACTTTGAGTATGTGTGGCCTAGCTTGTGTGTGTGTGTGTGAGAGAGAGAGAGAGAAAGAGAGAGAGAGTGAGAAAAACATCATCACAGCCTTATAATTCCTGCAAACAGCAGATGTCATCTCAAAAGAAGCATTCTTTCTTCATTTCAGAGACAAGTAAGAGAACTGTTTATAACAACAGATTTCTGAAAACTGATAAAGTCCAACCCAAAAGCAGGCCTGACCAAGATCAAGGAGTATGGGACATGGTAGTAATATCTTTCTTCATCTTTTCCACGTGTGCTACAAAGTCTAGTTTCAAAATCATTGGCATTCTTTTCCCTCTCTGTAGTGTCCTTGGCTCTGAGTGCCTTTCTTTTCCTGTATCTCTCCACACAAACTTTTCTCCAGATTGTGAGAGGAAAGGACAGGTTACTTACCTGTAACTGTGGTTCTTTGAGTGGTCACCTGTGAAATCACACATGTAGGTGTTTCTGCACCTGCACAAAACCTGTCAGGATATGGTACAGCTCAAAGCAAAAAGACTGTTAGGTCAGCTCAGCCTCCACTGCACATGTCCATGTACCTACTGGTTATCCCTCAGTTCCCCAGTTCCCACCACTATATACGAGTGAACAGTAGCACGGCAGACTGAAGAGAGGATGGGTTGATTGTGTGAATTCACAGATGACCACTACAAGAACCACAGTTACAGGTTAGTAACCTTGTCCTTCTTTGTTGCAGTCTTTGTGAATCCCACATGTGGGTGACTGACAAGCTCGCGTACCGGCTGGTACAATGTCACACCAACACGGATGAAATTACTCCTGTTCCAAACACAGATTCAGGTTTTGTCCTGATGTTCCACCTGTAGTGTTTGACAAACTCTGAGGGCTGACACCACATTGCTGTCTCTTAGTTGGATTCCTTTGAGAAAGGTTGTAAAAGCTGCAACAGTTCTGGCGGAATGCCCCTTCAGAGTCAGGCACTGGTCTGTTTGCTAGTTGATAAGACAATTTAATTGTGTTGATGAGCCACTTGGACAATCACTGGGGGATTGTCACCCATCTTTACACCCTGATAGCTAACAAATAAGTTCTTAGACTTTTGGAAATGCTTGCTTCTAGAGGTATAGAGAGTCAGAGCTCTTAGGATGTCCAAGTATGAAGAATGTTCTCCAGTTCCATAGTAGGCAATGGCAAAAAGTTGGGAGGACAAGAGGCTGATTAAAGTGAAAATTTGATACCACCCTAGGGAAGAGTGACATGTCTGGAAAAATAGTGACCATAACCTTGCAGGAAAGGTAGGTCATGTCAGAGAGTACACAACTTGCTTGCCCTTCATGCTGAGGCAATAGCCACCAGGAATGCTATTTTGTAGGTGAGAGGTGTCTGGACTGCAGTAGCCATCAGCTCAAAGGGTGATTACATGAATTGGTTGAGTACTACAGAGAATCAACATTGTTGGGGGAGGTCTCAGAACATCCAGAAAGATATTCTGAAGATCCTGCAGGAAGTTGAGGTGTTGGGTTTCTGAAGTATTGTGATGCTTTGGAACCAAGAGGGTGTTTTGCTACTATAGTGGACAAATAGACTTTAATAGAAGAATGAGATAAACCATTATCTTTTAGCAACAGAAGAAAACACAACATTGTGTGCAATGAGGGTTGGAGGTCAGATTTCCCAATTGACTAAGCAAAGGAGGAGGATCTCCACCATTTTCATCTGTAACTATGCCTGGTAGATGGCTTTCTGGACGAATGCATAATTCGTTTCAGGGTTGACTGTGTTTCATGCTGTCAGCCTCAGTCTGAGTCTGGATAGTGAATTGTTCCTCTGTTTTGAGAGAGTAGGTGATGAAGTAGGGACAGGTGGTAGGCTTCTGTTGCCTTTTGCTTTAATTATGTAAACCAAGCTTGGTGCTGCCACCATGGGGCATGTAGGACTGCACTGACTTGTCTTGACAAAGCTTCGCGATCACCCTGTGTAACAGAGAAAGAGGTAGAAGACTTGTCTTGACCAATAAGTCATGAATGAATATCCTAGACAATTTCCCCCTTGCCTTGCTCTGGAACAATATTTCGGACATGCTTTGTTGTCACAAGTAGCAAACAGATCTATACCCAGTTGATCCATTTGTTACAAATACTGTTGAGGAGGTGTTGGGCTAGCTTCTGTTTGCGATCTCGAGATGCTTTCCGACTTAAGACTGTCCGCCAGTCGGTTGTCTTCCCCTGCCACACGGATGGTCATTGGGAATATATGATGCAGGAGGCACCGTTTCCAAAGTTCGACAGCTAGGAGCATCAAAGACCTGGAACGTGTCCTGCTCTGTTTGTTCACATAGTTCACATCCTTGCTGATGGTGGCAACTTGTAGTACTTTGCCCAATATGGCTTTCCTGAATGCTATAAAGGCCTTCAGCACCATTAGTAGCTCTCGTTTATGTGCAGGTTTATTTATTTCTTGGACCACAGGGCCTGCGATTTGCTCCCTATCCTATCAAGCTTGCATCTGTTGTGGCCTGAATTTTGGGCCTGAGATGTCTGGATCGCCTTCCCAGTTAAATTAGGTTTGTTGGCCCACCATAAGGGCTGTTCTGCTAGCTTGGGAGTAATGACCAGTAGCTTGCTATTGCCCTCTGTCAACATATCAAAGGAGATCAGGTACCAGGCGTGAAGGCATCTCATTTTCAAACAAGTCTGCAGAATCATAGCCATTGTAGATGCCAGGAGACTAAGAAATGTTTGGATGATGAACACTGTGATTGTCCCATTCAGTTTGAATTTCTTTATCAATGTTATTAGTTTGTTTGTTCTTTATTGAGGTAATCACACTCTCATAGTTCTAGAATCCAGAGTGATGTAATGGATTTTATCATATGGTTCTAAATTTGATTTTTCCAGATTCATGCAAAGTTTGACATCCAATAGGAGACAGAGGGTGAACAGGATGTGTCCTTTTGCCTTGACCTTGGAGTTGTTGTCTATATTAGGGAACACCATTATACCACAGAGTCTGAACTAGGCAGTGACAGGTACCATACATGTCATGAAACCCCTGGGTGCTATATAAAGCCCAAAGGAAGTGCTTTGAATTGTTAAATAATGCAAAACTCAGGGAACTGTGATGATTTGAATGAGCGGTACTATGAAAATAGGCATCCTTTAGGTTGATTACAGCAAACCAGTCCCCTTTTCTGAGGAGTGGTAATATTGTTTCTAATGTCAGCATTCTGAAAATTTTGGTGTCTCTGTAAGAATTTACATGTCTCAGATCCAGGATTGGCCACAAATAAACATCTTTGCTTTGAACTGTGAAATAACAAGAGTAGAAGCTGTTAGGAAGCATTTTGAGAGGAACAGGCTGTATGGTGACTTTCTTCAGTAGTGTAGCTATTACTTCTAGAATCAGAGACGATATTGTAAGTCTGAAAAGACCTGTAGGAGGGAGAAATATAAATTCTATGGCATAGCCGTGTTCAATGATGGTTAACACCCATTTGTTCTTAGTGATACTGCACCAGGTGGTAATATATGGTGCAAGTGGCGCTAGAAGTGTAGTGTCTGGTGTAATGGTTTCCTACATTAAAGAAGGCAATGGCCTGTGGATCTTGGTGTATAAACAGTCAAAGACACTGTTTAACCCTTTTTGTCTTGATGTTTAGAAGACGTTTGCTGATTGTACTTATGGCATTGTGACTGCTAGCTGTAGAAGTGAGAAGATGATGAAGCGGGGGAGTCTTTGATGGCTTGATAAGAAGCTTGCTGCTGAATATGGGTAGAGCCATTTCCAGTATTGTTTGCATTGTCTCTTTTGGTAGGGTGTATAGAAATCTTTTTTTGCAGTATTCTTCTTTTCATGCAGGTTCTCTGTTATATCATCAGTTTTCTTGTTGAAATGATCTTCCCTGTCCCCTGTTCTTGCCCTTGTACGCTGAGAGACCAGCAGAATTCAACCAGGTGAAGCGTCTCAGGGCTACTGCTGCCAATATGTTGTTGGGTTACAGTCCACTGCATGTTGTGGAGACAGCATTTGTTGGGTGGTAAGAGACACATTTTCTTGCTCTTTTGTCTGATGAAGTGGACTTGTCCATGAAAGCTCCCATGAAAAAATTATAGAAGTTAATCTTTTAGGTGCCACCACATTTTTGTCTATTTCTACTTTTTTTCTATTTTGCTTTTATCTCTAATGGTTACAGAGATGAACATGGCTACGTCTTCTACAGCTTCTTGCTAGAAAGTGAGCACTAAGACTCTCTTTTCCTCTGGTGGGCTGTTAATGAGTGGTTGGATTTTATCTCCTTTGGTACGTTCCCATGGCACCCTGGAAACTGGGAAACCATAGGACTAGAACTGCAGTTGAATAAATCCTCCTCCTTAGTGCATTGACAGTAATGGATCTTCTGCACACTTTTTCATTGTGGCACAATCTTCTCTTGAACAGTAGAAGCTAATTCCTAAGATGAGTGTTGGGAATATTGTTGTCCCGCAAAGACACTACAGGTTTTTGGCATGGGTTTCAGGAGTGGGGAGAGCCTACTCAGAGTATGATGAGTGAACTGACTCCACTCTGGGGAATGGCTAAATTCTAGATATGAAGCTTGAAGACAAGGTGTTTCCTCATCAGAATTGAAACCCAGACATACCAGTCTTGGGTTTCTGTTTTGGCTTTGATTTCTTTGCTGGGGAGGAATCAGACTTAGTAGATGTCTTTTTTTTTTCTTTTTTTTTTGAGATCAAGGAGGTGAATTTCACTACCAATGTCTCTCTGGAACTGGTTGACTGAGTGGATGGTGCTCTTATTGTCAAAGGTGTGCCATTTGTTTCAACTGGTGGCACTGGGGTCAACACAACTTCTCTTGGTCTCTGATCATCCTTGGTGCCTGATTCTGGTTGGCTAGACTGCACAATAAGTTGCTTAGAGGAACTCTTGCACACTGATCCTGTTGAGATAAAAGTTTGTTGTGACAGAGATCCCATGGCCCGAAGTGACTTTTCCCAAAGATGAAATCTGAGGTGCAATTGTGGTTCCTAATAGCAACCTTTGAAAACTTTTGGCAGTGCTGACAAGAATGTGTTTGGTATCCCTCAATAAGGCAATACAAGCACTTAGAGTATCTGTTAGTGAGGGGCATTTGGCTTGGTGTGCACAACATATTTTTAAACAGCCCCACTGGGGATATGAAAAAGGTGGGAAGGCCTCAAATCAGAAAACAAATGATGAATATTAATGACAAATACTAACTATATAATTTAAAAATATTTTGTTATAGAGTGGAGAACTCACAGAAACGAAGAAATAATGATGAAAATGATGATAACAAGGATGGCAGCAGGCAAAGGTAAGACTGAAGTATGAAAAAAGGTCTAGAAACATGCTTTGACAAGTTTCCTCAGCTTGGTTCAAAGGAACTGAGGGATCACTAGTAGGTGCACGGACATGCACAGTGAAGGGGGGCTGAAGTGATAGGGTTTTTTTTTTGAGCTCTAGAATATTCCAGCAGGTTTCATACAGGCACAGAAACACCCACATGCGTGATTCCCAGAGTCCATGATGAAGAACTACTCCTGAAGGGCTAAAAGACTTTCCACCATTTCTCCCTCAGAATTATCCCCAGAATGTGGCAGAAGGCCCTTAGAAACTCTGCTTTTGGACTAACTTTCAGATATGTTCTTCCCAGGAAGCCTGGTAAAAATAAGTTTTTCCTGGCTTCTTTTCCCTCGCAGATCACACAAAAAATATTAGATGGAATCAGTGTTATTCTCATGCCCTCTTGTTTAATATGCTTCCAGAACTTCTATTTTCCATCCGTCCATCCCTGATTCCTCCATCTTGTCTGCAGTTCTTTCCACAGAACTCCTAAAAGCTCCGCTTGCGACTTTCCCCAGTTTCTAGGCAACCCTGACTCCTTTTGTTTACTCTTCTGGTCTTGCCTGGATGGCCCTCCACTGCTGCCCTGTGAGGAAGCCCACCTGTGTGATGCAGGCACCAGTAAAGGCCACAATGACTGCCACCACATTGACTGTGAGCTGGAACTGCAGAAATTTGGAGATGCTGTCGTAAACATTGCGGCCCCACATGACTGCTTTGACGATGCTGGAAAAGTTGTCGTCTGTCAGGATAATGTCAGAAGCCTCCTTTGCCACATCAGTGCCTGCTATGCCCTGCAAATGACACACACAAAAAGACAAAGTAGGAACATTTTTGGAAGGAGCATCTGTCTGCTCTTTCCCTTATGCTGATGGAAGAATTGTTTGGATTTTTAATGGTCAAAAGTGGCCGGATTTGCCCCGTGACCCTCAAAAATAACATTGGGCAAATAATAGGTAAATACTACCCATTATCCACAACCCCATGTAATAGTTTAGCATTCACATTAAAGCTATAAATGGGGGGAACATACTGTCATTAGCATGACTATGTTCCTTTATGCATAGTACTCAGGGAATAATGGAGCTAACCCAAGACATTTTGTTGTGAGGCAAAAGATAAAGTCATCCATTTGCTGTGGTGCTCCAAGAGGTGGGTGGCATCATTGGTCCTGCTCTGAACAACAACAACAACAACAAAATGAGGGGTGTGCCCCCCTCTGCTCCCCTACTATCAATCTGGCAGAGGCAAGTCAATGACTGCTACTTATCCCTAGTTGGTTTCATTGTCAGAAAGAATCAGTTCAGATTGAAGCAAAATCTTTAATCTTTTTTGACACTTTGTTTCCAAATTCTGGCCAATGCTGAGTCTGACAATGAAATGCCCACTTACTGAATTGTTCCCTAGAGACCAAATCCCAGCAATTTAAATTTCATCCAGTTTCCTTTAAAGCCTTGGTCATGTATTTTACCCTGATAGGCATTAAAGGATGCAGTGAGTGTGATGGTTTCTCATTCTGAACCTGTGACTGACTTCTTCAGAGCCTGAAGAAATCACATTTTTTGGACCATATCTCCTTCAGTCTTACAGCTACCATGGCCCCTGGTCAAACTGGCTAGAAGCTTCTGGGAGTTATAATCCAGCATTTTCCAAGTGCTGGACAGCGCAGAGAGAGGACAGGCACAGAATGGTATGGCAGGTTATTTTCCAAAGCACTTTTAATTCAAATGCAACTATCCATCTGCAGGGTCGCACTGAGGCAATGGCAGCTGACTCATTTGGCCAAATGGGGTGCAGCTTGATTTTAGCCTTAGGCAAATCCCTGCCATCTCATTCTTGCCTGCCTCTTTACTAGGTATGTGAATATATCTGTATGTGTGGAATAACCACATTTATAGCTGGCTCTGCCCACCACTGGTTGCAGTGCCTTCCACCCTACCAACCATAATGGGTATCAGCTGCACTGCGTCTGAGGCTGGGGTGGACCATTTCTGTAACTGGCGATTCAGACAACATTGAGACATAATTTTCCCATGATAGCTTCCTGCTTTCCAATCTATTGTACAGTTCCCACTTCTTAGAAATTAGGTTGCATGTATTAATAAAATGTTAACAGATAAACACATAGGGATTCTGCCCTTGCTTTGAACATGAGACATTGTGGGATGAACACAAACATACAAAACCAGTGACTTTAAAAAGGGGAGACAGCCTGCCTGAAGCAGAGGCAAAGAGAAATGAATGTTGGCTAAGCTAGGGTTCAGTCCACCAATATAGACAGCTGTTATTTCAGGTGTGACACTAGATGGAAGTTGAGGCTCACCGCACAGATGAAAGACAAGGTGCATGAGCCTACAGATCTTCACCCAATTTCCCTGGGGAGTACATTCCCCTGTGGACTCAGAGGAGAGAATTAAGTTCATTGCCTTTTCTTACCATGGCAAAACCCACATCAGCCTTCTTCAATGCTGGTCCATCATTCGTCCCATCACCAGTAACAGCGACCACCTGGCGCTGGTCCCCAATGGTGCTATCAATGATACCTTGAAGGTGAAGGATGTAAGTTAGCTTGTAGCAAGTGGGCTATAACTCAAAATATTTATCAGAGACTTTCTCATCTGTCTACCATATGCTCTACAAGGGTGGGGACTCTAGAGAAAAGCCATCTAAACTTGGAAACAGGGAATCGTGGTATAATGGGGAAGAATGTCAGATGGCCAGATTCAGCCCCAGGGACTAAAGTTCCCCACCCCTGCTTTAATAAATAATCTGGCCCAGACTCCACTGACCTCACCATAGTTTGATGGCAAGGAGCTGTTGACTCTTACCTTTCACCAGTGTGTGTTTGTCAGTGGGTGACGATCGAGCCAAAACTCGCAGTTTGGGCCAGATTTTATCAAGGCGCTCTTGTTCTATCTGTAGTGCAAAAAAATAAAGAAATGCTAGATAATGCAACCGAATACAAGAGGCAAAGCTGACAGAGCAGGTCAAACAATAGCTCCATTTCAGTAGTGTGTGGTATGACTCTTGATGTTGCAGGGGCAAAGAATCGATTCTGGATCTTAGTCAGAATAATACAGGAGCTCTCCGAGGTGCTGAAACTATCATATGTTGATGACTGCCTATATGAGAATGACTTGTTCCACACAGGTCTTCCATAGCATCTTCAGTAGTGTTACTGTATTTCACACACACTGAAGAACAAGGAATAAGGTGAGGGAATGGACTACTGGATATTTTATTTAGCTATTTAAAGATGTACACCCCATACTCAAGCATAATTAGTATACCTAACAGTAATTAAGAATACATGCATGCATGCATACAACATACAGCTTCCAGGACCGATACACATTAAAAATGGATTTCTCCCATATGAAAAATGTCTCCCTGCTAACATATGATTATCATATCAAGCATCCATCTGAAACAGAACCTTTCCTTCTATTGTGCCAGTGTTTTATTTGCAGGAGTATTTTTTGTTTTTTGTTTTTCATGTAAGGCAGCATTCAAATAGTTGGAACAACATCGAACGCTGAAGTTTATTTTAAAAAGGGAATCAAAAGCTTCTGCTTTCATCCTCTGATGCTCAAAACAGAATGGGAACATGTGAACTTGGAGTCATTTATGTCATGGAAAATCATGGTTTCCCATGGATTTAGCCTGTTTGAATCAGACCCAAGTCTACTAGCATTTGCACATATCAATAAAATTCAATGTATGTACAGTATGTTGCAGGAATTCATGGGGCCATTTCTCTCTCTCTCTCTCCTCTCTCTCTCATTATCTTGATTGTTTCACAAAGGCAGCTCAAGATATGAGACCTTCCGTCATCCCACTTGGTGGATATATCAATAAAATTCAATGTATGTACAGTATATTGCAGGAATTCATGTGGCTATTTCTCTCTCTCTCTCTCTCTCTCTCTCTCTCTCTCTCATATTATCTTGATTGTTTCACAAAGGCAGCTCAAGATATGAGACCTTCCGTCATCCCACTTGGTGGATAAATCTCGAGTTGGACAGGGATTGTGAATAGTCCATGTGGCATATACAACATCTGCACCCCTTCATGTTACTCAGGAGTTTTGGACTGCAACTCCCAGAAGCCTTCACCAGCAGCTGTCCTGACAGGGGTTTCTGGGAGTTGCAGTTCAAAAGCATCTGAGTAACAAAGGTTAAGAATCACTGGCATATACAACATCTGCACCCCTTCACCCAGAATCTGCCTAATGATAGGGCTGTCCTTATTGCTTCACTTCTACATGCAGCTGGGAGAAAGCGAAAAATAGGTCTGTTCAGAGATCAACACCTCTCTTGATCCCCCAAATGACTGACATTTCAAACAAGCCTTGGGAAAGGAAAGCTGTTATTCAGGATAGTCCCCTCCTCTCCCTTCCCCCCCCCGCTTGAATTCTAGGAGCACCACCTCCCCAGAGACTTCAAACAATGCATCTCATCACCTCTCCCTTTTCATTGCGGATCCGCCGGTTGAATTCTTTTCCTTCCAGGCACAGGAAATCCTCCCCTGGCTGGATGATGCCACATTTGGCAGCAATGGCCCTGGCTGTGTTGAGGTTGTCTCCTGTCACCATGCGGACAGTGATGCCAGCACGCTGGCATTTGCGGATGGCCTCTGGCACCTGCAAAAGAGATGGAAAGACAGGTGGAACCTGAGTCATCAATTTTCCTAGAATGCATTTTCTTTACATAATTTATTTTGTAGCCACCTTTCAAGACTATTATCTTTCTTCCTGAAGGAGTTGGTACAGCACAAATCCATATAAGTATATTAATAAAACTATCACAGATCCATTTTTAAAATAAAATGTAAATATTCTCTTAGCAGGCAGAAGCCAGGTATTTCTTCTATCCAAATTCTGGGTCAAACAATTGGGAAGGGACTTGAGATACAAAATTCCAGGGCCAACTTTGCAACTAGACGCAGGGTTTTTTTTTAATCCTAAGGTTTCTGCACCATTGCAAGTTTGCTTCTATTTGGTAAAAAGTCATTAGGAGGTAATAAAAGGTTTCATTTGAAAATTGATTGAGCAGACATGGCAGTTTTAAAGAAGTATGCCCATCGCAGGATAACGTTTATCACGTTCTAAATGTGAAGCTGATGGTTTTTTTTTAATAGTTAGACCCTGAAATGACTCTCCCTCTCTTATGAAACTCTCAAGGAGAAACATGACTCCCAATGTACTGAATCAAATTTTGTTCACAGAAAAGCTGTCCAAGTTCAGCAGTGTTACCTCTGGCCGCACAGGATCCTCAATCCCCACTACAGAGATGCAAGTCAAGTCTATTACAATCTCGTTCTCATTGTCCCACTCGGGCTCCTTCCCAGCTGGAAAATCACGGTAGGCTATGCAGATAGTCCTCAGCCCATCACACGCCATAGGTTCGATCACCTTCTTTATCATCTCATCTCGATCACGGGGTCGGAAGGCGCGCAACTCTCCATTGCTGTTTAGGATGTTTGTGCACCTGCAAACAGAAGAAGCAGATGTAGAAAAAGAGACTACGTTAACCAAGACTTTTGAGAGCCAGGGTGTTGTCATGGATAGAGTAAGGAACCTGAATTCAGATCTCTGTTTGGCAATGGAAACTCACGGGGGAGGTAGCAATACTAAAACACTCCTGGAAATCCCACACACCTCAAATAGATTGTCAGGGCCACAGTAAATCAGAAGCGATATGATGGTATATAACAGCAACACAAGGTCTTTTAAAAATGAATTTATCTTACAGGGTTTGTGAGATTATGACTGGAAATGCTTAGATATATTTTGGTTTCCTGTCCCTGGGATGGAGCAGTTTAGGAATCAAGCAAGAAGGTGGGGTCCCTCTGTCCAAAATATGTATGGGTGCGCGCTCCTCCTGACCTTGTCAAAAGCCATGTATGCAATGAGAGGAAAAGGTGAGCATAAGATTCTTCATTTCTTTTCTTTTTTTAATTATATGCACACCAAGGCACATGTCTAAAAAGGTGTACTGTGTATTAAAAAAAATCTACAGATATATTTCAGTCTGTGAGGACAATACGTATGTCAAGAAAAGTGTGTGAAAAAGTGGACATTAGGAAATGTGTCTTCCATTACAGATGTAGGAGAAAAGTAGTTTTGGGGAAAGAGTAGTTTTGCAGCCCTGTGCAGAACGTAGACAGGACTGGAACACTGAAAAGATTTTTCAGAAAGTCCAGAAAAGGAATATTGATTGATTTTCATATTCTGAGGGAGAAGACAAGCCTGGGGGGCATCTCATCTCAAAATATGTGGTGAGGCATCCCCACTTTTGACAACAGGCTGCAAGCAATATATAGGTATATAAACATGCACACATATGCACACACACAGAGAGAGCACAGAGATCTGTTATCAAAGTTATGAAATTGCTTTGAGAAGTTTTCCCAGGTTCAGAGACTGGTTTCACTTTACCATCTGGGAAGTATCCAGACTCCTGAGAATTCTTAATGGCCTTCTTGAAATCTGAAGAAAGGTAGGCAGTGAGCTTAGACAGGGCCTTGCCACTGGTGGCAACTCATTTCCGGGATCACCTCCTTAGGGCAGCAAAGGCCCTCTTACGTATAGATTGATATGACATCAAAATGTTCAGTCAACAGGAGCAGAAGTTATTTAGTTACTTATTTTTATGGGGATCCCAAGAGGGACGTGGTGGCACTGCAGGTTAAACCGCAGAAGCCTCTGTGCTGCAAGGTCAGAAGATCAGCAGTCGTAAGATCGAATCCACCCGACGGAGTGAGCTCCTGTTGCTTGTTCTAGCTCCTGCCAACCTAGCAGTTTGAAAGCATGTAAAAACGCGAGTAGATAAATAGGTACCACCTCAGTGGGAAGGTAACGGCGTTCCGTGTCTAGTCGCGCTGGCCATGGAAACTGTCTTCAGACAAATGCCGGCTCTACAGCTTGGAAACGGGGATGAGCACCACCCCCTAGAGTCGGGCACAACTGGACTAAATGTCAAGGGGAACCTTTACCTTTATGGGGATCTCTTCACCTCCCATGCGGGACAGTAGACTCACTTTTTGAGGAGTATTTCAGAAGCGCCTTTGCTGAAGAGGCGGTAGCCACCATCGGGCATGCAGATGACAGTACTCATGGACTTGCGGACTGAATTAAAGGTGTAAACCTTGTATAGCTTTTCCTCAGGGATTTGTTCACGCACAGGCTGGTAGTCACGTCTCAGGTCAAGTACGAAGCCCAGCAGCGAACACTCTGTCTTGTTGCCTATCTGGCGCGGCAGACCCCCTTCTTTCTCTGGAGGCTGAAGGAAGGAAAGGATTTTTAAAAAGGAGAAGGATTTTCACCGGTTCTCCAGACCCCATCCATTTCTCTGGGAAAGTGAGACAAACCAAAAGGGTAGTCCCCCGCCCCATTTCGTTTACACAGGAAATTCTAAGGATTATATTTCTCTTTTTAAGGTGGGTTACCAAGAACATCTGCGGACCTAAGGTTGGGAACCACTCATGTAGGCCAGGGTGGGTGGGTCTGAATGCTCTCCATGCCCTCTGCTTTTCTCTTGGCTGACGGTCTCCTTAAGCACTCCCTTCCAACTAGTCTCATTTCCTATACTGCAGTCTGGCTTGAAAAAAGAGGCAATTCCCAAGAATGGAGAGTGTTCAGCACCTTTCGCCCATATGCCACTTTTGCCTTTGAGAGTAAACAGACTTCACTGTAATACTCAGGACTGGGGCAGACCATGGTTGTAACAGATGACTAAGCAGCCATCCAGAGATGGGAGAAGATACAACTCCTAGAATTATCTCAGCCCAGTGGCCAGGTTGATTATGGGAGCTATAGGTCCAGGAGCAACTTTTTCCAGTGTTGAAGTATGTTCTTTTTACACTGGCTGGCCGAATTTCTCCCCATAAACCAATAAAATAGACAGTGGATAAAAAGATGTGCCATAGACCTCCACAACCTTTGTGAGTTCTGTATCTCCCTCTGGCCATGCTGCATTATCCTATTTGCCATTCAAAACGACACGATATTTTGCTTTCTGACATGAAGGATATGATGACACCTTCTCCTTAATCCAGCAAAAAAGAGTGATTCGATTAGCTTCAGAATATTACTACAGCACTCTGTCCTCATCTCAGCTGAGATAGTATGCTAGTTTGGGATGGGGGCAGACAACTGGAAAGCTATTACCTCTGCCAGCAAGATGCCTCATTCTGTTCAGTGGTAAGGCTGGCTCTGCACTTCGGTGGCAGCTACTATATGCCTGCTTTCCCCATACTGGTAGCCTCATGATGTGTCGAACTACAACTTTGATCATTCCCAACCAGCATAGGCAGTGGCTGGGCAGCAGGGAACTTGCAGTCCAAAACTTGCCCAAGGCACCATATTGGGGAGGACTGTCCTAAAGCCATGGTTCATATAGTGGCACAGAGGATTCATTACAAGTTAGACAGAAGATTCCCCACTCACTAGTATCTTGGTGGTGTAGGCACTGTTGATGGCGATGGCATGTACCAGCAGGTCCAGAGTCTTGGGTGTCAGATTGCTGGGGTCAGGGGTCTCCTTGTAGTGAGTGTCGCCCAAGTAGGACTGCACTACAGTCATGCGGTTGGTCGTGAGGGTGCCTGTCTTGTCTGAGCAGATGGCTGTAGCATTGCCCATGGTCTCACAGGCATCCAGGTGTCGAACCAGGTTATTGTCCTTCATCATTTTCTGAAACCAACCAAAGAAAGAAAGAAAGAAAGAAAGAAACAAAAGAAAGAAAGAAAGAAAGAAAGAAAGAAAGAAAGAAAGAAAGAAAGAAATCTAAGTGTTCAGTTACATCCAGATGTGTCCATATAAAGTATGCCTCCAGTAGCTGGCCTTTTGCTTTCTTACCTGATAAACCATCAATACTCTGAATCGTCCAGTCACTCCACCAGGTTAGATCACTTTGCCACATATATCCAGTCCAGTATTTGTTTTCAAGTTTCTCAATGGTTGCATCTCCTGCTGCCTCTAGCTCTACATCCCTGCTTTCTTGATCTGATGCCCGGCTTCCGACCCATTCATGACCCCTGAGTTCTAGCTAGCGCTCAGGCCCATCGCCTTTCCTTCCCTGCATGAGGTCCAGACTTCCTGTTAGCCTGGCAGGAGGTAGGCCCCAAACTTAACCACATAAGTTATGTATTATGCTAAGCAGGCCTATACATTGTGGGTGGGTGTGTTTGCCCCCCCTCCCCAGTGCTTGCAGCCTACAATTTTCTTAGCAGGCCACCTTAACCATCAGCATAGCTGGTGACTTAAGGTTAATAGGAGTTGTAGTTGAGAAACATTTTAACAGCCACAGTCGCTCACCCCTGTTGTACATGAAAACCCTAAATGAGGAAATAGACTTTTCTACAGAGGACTATTCAGGCATGCCCAAACTTTAATATTCATGCGCTTTATGAAACATCACCCCTAGAGCACGAACAATATCATCACCATTTACTAACCTGTCCAAGAGGCAAAACTAAAAATTAACAATGCCTGTTGTCAAGTTGATTCTGAATTATGTTTACTCTTATTGGATTTTCTAGCTACAAAACACTGATTTGTGAGTCCCTCCTGGTCGTGCTCTGTGGTCATGCAGCTAGTGCAAGGCTGTGCACATGACAAGGCACATATCGGCATCAGCCACACATATTCCAATGATCTTGGTTGGCCTCTCTCCTCGGAGTGTCCCTGGAGATTTGAAGCTCTTTCTTGACTACCAATTGACTCGTACTTGAACAAGAACGATAGGCTGTGGTGTGTCACACATGGCTCTATCCCTCCAAGAATGGCCTAGAGATTCAAAAAGTTGCCACCAATGCCACCCAACACCTGCTGCCTAAGGCAGCTGTCCTCACTCCACCTAATGGCAGGGCCAGTCCTAGCCTTGACTTTTGAAGGACAGTATTAGAAGATGAAAGAATTCCATATTTTGGCTAACCTGGTATTTCAGAGATACCTTCTCATGCCAACCCAAGGCAATACACGTCAGGAAAATATGATTCTCACCTTGACAGAATAGGCGAGGGAGATGGTGACAGCCAATGGCAGGCCTTCAGGCACGGCCACCACCAGAACAGTGACTCCAATAATGAAGAACTTGACAAAGTATTGCACGTAGACGGGGGTGCATTCAGCCATCCATGTTTTCCCATCGATAACAAATGTCTCAATGACAAAATAAAGGACCAGGATGATGACAGTGATAGCGGACATCACCAGTCCTGATGAGGAAAGAAGAGGAGAGAAAAGATACAGGTAGGCAGGAAGGACAGTGAGATCCGGGTTCAAGTGCTGAGACCTTTCACTCCCTCTCTCCAGCAAGGTACCATCCTTTGAAAACATTTGAGATCAGAAGTGGGGCAGGCAAAGTGTAATCCAATGTTCCTGAATCACAGTTCTCATCAGCCCAGGCTGGCATAGCCCCTGGAAAAGCATGATGGGAGCTGCAGTGTAGCAACAGCTGGAAGACCACAAGTTGTTAATTCCTAATCTATGCAAGATTATGAGGAAGTGAAGTGCTCCTCAAGATAAACGGTGCCATGTACTGCGCTATTCTGGGTTTTCCTCCTTAAAGAGTTCAGGAAAGAGCAGGGAAGCCACTTTAGTTATAAAGATATGCTTGGAAGTAAGCAGCAATGAAGACTGACTGGAAGTAATTCATTTCTATGGCACCTGGTGGGGGTTCCTGTGCATGGAACTCTTTCTTGCCCCCCCCCAACGCTGGCAAAATCTGAACAAAATGCTCCAAAACAGTAAAAATGAGAACCAAATCAAGCAACTTTTCAAGGTAAGAAGGGACATTGCTCAACCTGCACCAGCTGCACAATTTGGCTTTTCTGAGCATTTTTTAAAAAGTACAAGAATGTGCTGTTCTGGCCACTGTTCTTGTTTCTCATCCCTCTGGATGTGGACTATCCCTCTTCCCACAGGCAAGGGGGCACCACCAGATTTCATAGGCACAGCATCCCATTGTACCTGCTTTTCCAATTTGAACAGCCAGTTTGGTGAGCTTCCCCTGGAGAACAGATTTCTCTTTTTTGGGCACACTGGCTTTCTTCTTCTCCCGCTCTTCCATCTCACCACCCTCAGCACTTTTCAGAGGCTGCATTTCCATGGCGACTGCTCCATCCTGCTTTTTGGCTGCAGATAAACAGGGAACAAACACTGATCCACCCATAAACACAACATTCCTACCTCATCCTACAGTGCTGCTGCTGCTAAGGGGGTGGGTGGGTTGGTTTCCCCCTCCCTCCCTCTGCTCCTGTGTCTTTAAACAGCTTTCAGTTACACAAAAACACACATACGAGGTAAAATGTTTCCACATGTCTCTTTGGTGTGTTCAATTTCTGTTTGTTAAGTTGGCATTAAAGGCCACAAAGGGACTCTTTGGTGTGTTCAATTTCTGTTTGTTATGTTGGCATTAAAGGCCAAGGTAGAACCATGATGGCCAATCTACTTCTGTCCTGGCAAAGCTCTCTCTGTAGTACATATGATGCCTTGTTGTAAAAGCCACTGAATAAAGTGAAATTGGCTTCCATGCTAGGTTATATTTGGAAAACTGAGTTCCTTAAAGACCAGTATCAGTTCTGTCCAGTAGAAGGCAGCAAATATACAGATGTCATTTGGAAACAACTTGCTGTCTCTTAATTACCCCTTCCAAACATTCCCTCATCCCAACCCAAACAAGTTACCCAAATAAATATGTAGTGAGGCTCACATAAATACCTCCGATATATAGAACATGTATACATTTAATCCAGGTTGATTGTCATACCATCTGGTAGTGAACTCGGATTCGAAAGCTTTTCTACAAAAACTTACCACATTAACACAAAACTAGGATCAGTCTGAGCAGTAGAACATGTATACATTTAATCCAGGTTGATGGTCATACCATCTGGTAGTGAACTCAGATTCGCAGTTCTCTGTGGCAAAGCTTTTCTACAAAAACTTACCACATCAACACAAAACTAGGATCAGTTTGGGCAGCGGCTCCCAGCTCAGAGTCCTATTCCAGTGATTCCTAGAACCCTGACCCTTGGTCATGATGGCTCAAATCTCTGGAAGCTGAAGTCCAAGAATATCTGGGAGGCAACCTTAAGTGCACATGGGTGAACAATTTATCCCCACATAGGAGGTTCCAGAAAGTTCATGTCTCGGATGAACACACACATATTTATTGAACAAAAGTGTTCACGTGCACACAGAGAACACTCACCTCCATTTGATTCTAAAAGTCCAATGCTACCTGATGACTTTAGCATAGGTTTGTGACAATACTGTCCCACTGGTCTTTGTAAAGTCCAATGCTACCTGATGACTTTAGCATGGTTTGTGACAATACTGTCCCACTGGTTATTTCCTAGGCACCATCCTTTGTCAAACAAACTAAAATGACATTCTAACCAAACTCTACATAAATATCAAACCTCTTTTTAATAGTTTTGCTCTCTTACTCTCTCCCCTTCACTCCTTGCATTGAGTAACATCCAATTTTGTAAAGGCTCTTGGAGAAAGCGAATGCTTAGTCAAGAATTTTTGCAACATTTGGATCGATCCTAATAAAAATATTGCCTGAATATGGGTTTTAGAAATTTCAAATTTCAAAAGACAGCAACCCCATGAAGAGTTCTGTATCTCTCGGTGTCCCTGATCACTACACCCAGACTCCACTGTTGCTGCTGTTAAAACATACCAGATCTCTGAATGCAACAGAATTGATGGACAAGGCTGGGAAATCTGGAGCAGATATGACTAACCAGAGATGGAAAAAATCACATTTTTGGACTTCAACTGCCAATATCTCCCAACCAGCAGAGCCAGTGGCCACACTGGCTGGGAGATCCTGGGAACGGCTGTCTGAAACCACAACTTCTTCTGTTCTCTCCGATTAACCTTTTCCTGCCAATAGCTGTTACACTCAACCTAATGCAGAACTAAAGAGCTGGAAAGATGTGTCGGGTGTGTGTGTGTGTCTCAGGATGTTTTACCTTTGTTCTGATTATTCTCCACTGCCCCATCCTGCTGCTTCCCTACAACAGAAAAAGGGAACGACAAACACAGGACGCTTGAGAACAGACAACACAGCACCAGCACAGCACACATGCACACAACTACACACTATGGACAGCATGGGTCTCCACAAGCAGGAACTTCCATTCCATCCCTCCCTGCCCCATGGGGGGGGGTCCTGGCCAAGAGGTTACAGAGGGGCACAGATTGGCCTTCCTCCACTTGATACCCTTCAGAGGTGTTGGATTATGACTCCCAGAATCTCCAAACAGCACAGACCATGGCCACTAGGATGATGGGACTTGTGTGGAAAGTACTAATTCAGGGAGGGGCAACATGGGTGCAGGTGGAGTTATCTATGGTGCTGAGAGATGATATACCTAATCCTTTTTGAGTGAGCTAGATAGATCTTTCTCTCTCTCTTTTTTTCTACTGCTGGATACCAAATGATATCTCTTTAATTGTAGAAGCGCACCGTTTGGGATATGTTCATTTGAGAGATGTGCAAAGTGGTCAAAGGAGCGGCATGGCGTCATCTCAAATTAGACTGGGTTGAACTGCAACCTTTTGAAAAGATATGGAATAGTATTATGGAGGCCTAAGAAGAAGGCAGGTGGCCACCCACTTTCCCCCACTCCACACCTGAGCTTCAGCAGTAAAAACCAGATAGACAGATACAGAGGGCAGCGTGACATGAAGGCAATGCCAATAGATACGGGGAGGCTTATTGGTGTTTGAAGTGAAGTACTGTAGATGGAAAGGCACAGCTTCCTTTTCAAAGGACTTCCTCAGAGAAGACAAGCATGTTAGGATTGCTGCATCAGAGGCTTTATAAAGTTGATTTGGAAACAAACCAAAGCAAAATGTATTCTTTTATGCCTTTGAGGCTATGTTACCCTTTCAATGTTGCTTCTTACTACTGAACTCTCTGGTGTTGCTGGAATCGGTACTTTTTTGGTTCTGCAATTTTTGCTATGGATTCCCTTTCCAGGGATGGGAAACATCCTTCGTTTGGAACGCAGCTCGCAGAATATCCCAGCCGGCAGGGTGCTATCGGCTGGAATATTCTGTGTGAGCTGTAATTGGAGAAAAGGAAGTTTCCCCATTTGTACACTTTTTGCAAACTTTTTTTAAAATTTCTGTATATGGTTTAAAATTAAGTAACTTGTGCTCTCCCTCTTGGTAATAGTGGGAATTGGGCCCAGCCAGGCTGAGCTGCAAAAGGAAGGTGAGCAAGCCAGCCAGCGAGCAAGCAGAGTAGTGGCGACCCATAAAGGAGGTGGCACTGCTTGGGTTTCCTATCAGTGGTGGCCCCCTGCAGGGTGTGGGTCCTGGCAGATGTCCACTCATGCCATCCCCATTTATAGTCGGCAGTCATTATTTTACTGATCTGGCCAGAAAAACTTTTTTTGGTAGCAAGAATTATCTAGATATTAACTGCCAAGTCCCTTTGCTCATAATCAAATGTATCCCATCTTGGCTTTTACTCCAGGCCTGCCAAGTTGTCCCCAAATCCCCTCTCCTTATATTCTGTCATGGCTTTGCAGGCCTTGGCTCTATCCATAGGTTCTCCTGGCAAGTCTACCTTGTTGCATTTTTAGATTATAGTTTTAAAGGAATTGCTTTTCTTAAAAAAAATTGTTCAGCTGTTTCTATGCTTAGGGAGCCAACTTGGTGCCCAAACGCCCGATCAAATGCCGGGTAATCAATAAACAACCAAGCAAATAAATGAAACCAATATCATGGGGAAATTCTGTGGATAAATATGGTTGAAATCTGTAGACATTACAGCTCTCTCTCTCTCTCTCTCTCTCTCTCTCTCTCTGTGTGTGTTAGTGCCCACGCCTGCCCTACCCTTAGGCAGACTGAGTCAACCACCCTTAGGTAGCAGATTTGGATGCCAAGAAAGGGGAACAAATACGTATTAATTTAACTTATTATTTTTATAATAGAGAGAGAAGCATTAGCGGGATTTTCTGCCTCATGTGATGAAATAATGGCTAGCTTTGGGTACAAAGCACCTCGACTTGTGCGAATGGCGGGGGAGGGGAGGCATCATTTGCTGCTCCACTTCTTTTAGTCTGTTAGTGAAATGTCTTAGGCTGTCCCTGGGAGAAATTTAAGAAAATGCAAGGATTGATCAAAATGTCTAAAAATACGTGTTGAGGCTGCCATAGAAGGAACGGGCAGTATGCCTCTGAATGCTAAGGTGAAAGTTTCAAGTCTTCTTGGCTGCCTATAGGCTTTTGGCTGGCCACTGTGGAAACAAGGAATTCAGAGGGTTCTTCTTATTGGTAGAGGTATAAGGGCTGCTAAATAATGTGGAGTTTGTGGCTGGCCTATGTGGGAGCAGACTGTGGAAGCCCAGGAGTACTGTGTGCTCCATTGTGCCCATACCCCCAGTATTCTCTGGGGTGGAACCCTCTGCTTTGGCATCCATGGGGAAACCAGTGCCAGATGGGACCATGGAACAGAGGAGATTGGGAAGAAGAGGGAGGAGGGGGTTGTAGCAGGGGTCAGATGCAGGGAAGACCAGGGAAGAGAGAGAAATAACATTAATCAGCAAACTGGAATACCCCCACCCCTGACGGAGGGCAGACCTGTTGATGCACAAAAGAGAGTTTTTTAAAAATTAAAATGGCCAAAGAGGTCATTGTGAGATAGGGCACCCATCTGTAATGTGCAAAAACACCCGCCCGTCTGAGCATTGTAGACACCCCCAGGTATTGAAAGATGACATAGTAGTATAATCCCCAGAGCATCAAAGGAACTGGGTACTTTTAATTACCTCTTATTTGTGATAGCTAAGGCACTGGTTCTTAACCTTGGGTTACGCAGGAGTTTTGGACTGCAACTCCCAGAAGCCTTCACCACCAGCTGTCCTGACTGGGGTTTCTGGGAGTTGCAGTTCAAAAGCATCCAAGTAACAAAGGTTAAGAACCACTGAGCTAAGGCATAACTCAGAGTTACCTTATGGCTGCAACATAACAAAGGATGATTTGTTTCTTTTGTGTGGTAAAACTGTATGTTCTAAGAAAATTTTATAGCTACCTGGGTGCATCGTGAGTTAGATCTGTCTTGCAGCACAGGGTGATGATTTGTGATATTTTTAGCGTTAAATAAAAAATAATGCATCCAGTTACTTTTCAAGGCATTATCTACAGAAGTATAGTTGAAGATGTAGGTTATATTCCTTGGAAACCATTGCAAATACAACCTGTTAGTTTTTAAGATGCTGCGAGATACCTTGGTGGTCCGGTCAATATTTTCAGTTTTAAAATTATTATTAGTACAGGTAACTGCAATGCTAAGTACATTTGGACTTATAACTGCCCTTGTAACTGATTGCTTGAAGAAAAAAGAAAAAGACAAAAAAAAACCTTCCCGAGCTTTGCTCATCAACCCATCCTCCCAACAAATGGTCCAGAAGTAATGCTGCAGCTCAGTATTATGGACCTGAGCAACATCAGGATGGAAGACCACTTGGGAAGCCAAAGTCGGCAACTCTGAGCTAAACCATCAACCAATGTGCTTCTTATTCCCAAGTAAGCTCATGCAGTCCCAGTTTGGATCAGGATCACTGTGCATAGGCTTTATTCTTTTCTACTCAGTTATTCCCCTCACCTTGCATAAGATGAAAAATAAAACACAGTTCTATTGGAACCTACATATTAGTACAGAGACAGAAGAAACCAAGAAATGGTATGGACAGACTACTGGGAACCTGAGGAGTCTGTTGCTATGTATACCCATTGTAGAATGAAAATTACTGTTGAAACCCAATAGGTCAATGTATTACAAATATGGAGCCAACTTTCTGAAACAGCTCATCTTGCGTCAACATGAAATATGCTACCGAAGAATAAACAGTTACTATGGGTGTGACTAAATTGCAATATACTCCTCCAGTTACTCCTGGTTTAGCATAATGCAAATTGATTCCAAATTTCCTGACTACACAACATTATTGTAACTGCAGGGGATACCCACACTTTTCTTTTTCCCCTTTTCAACACCTTTTTGGGAGGTTGTTTGTTTTAAATCGCTCTGCATTGCACTGGTTTTTGACCTGTTGTATGAATGGCGGTGTCTTTGTATTCTGTGTGCAGGATCATTCTCTGTGCTGATGGTGATGTGTTTGAAGTGGTGCGGGATGCTGTTCCACTGAGAAATTAGCAATTATGCCTGCTGCCCGAACAGTTTCCCTTTTAATTTTTTATTTAAAATAAGTTGTTTTACTTTAGTGCTGCATCACATAGGCGCTGGCATCCTGCTGGTTTGTAATTGATATGTGTTTTGCCTTCCATCTGGTGACTTTTGCTTTTCCATACAAACACAATGCCAGCTCCTTTTCCCCCCTTCTTTTTTCTTTTTCTTACATCTGCATTTCTTTGGGGGCATTTTTGAACTGTCTTGCATATGCAGACTTCACCACCTATTGCACAGGAAGGTCTATAGTTAATAATAGATTTTCAAAGGAGAGGAAAGGGAAGTTTCAGTTGCAGAAAAATACACTGTCTGCAATGCTGATGCAGCACTATGCCACTTAGAATAAAAAAAGAGGAAAAATACTTGCAAATTTGGAGGAACAAAAAATTCCCATTGCAGGTTGTGAGACAGGGGGTGAGGGTGGTAGCTCTCTCACCAAAGCACCGTCCCTCCCCTTACAGTCGAGAAAGAGGTACAGACCTTGCCCACTTCAGCTCCTGAGAGAATGGAGCAGTGAGGGACAGACACTCAGGAAATGGAGAGAGAAATATGAAAGTTAACTGTCAAAGGAACTGAGGGGAAAACAACGGGAGTAGCGCGGAAGAAGAGGGTGGAGATAGAGGCAGGAGCAGCAGATATAAAGAGGAAGAAGGAACAGGTGCTGCCAGGTTGGGAATGGGTCTAGATTGGAGGACCCCTGGACTGGCACATGGGAAAGATTAAGAGTCCTGAAGGAAGAGGCTGAAGGAGAGATATTCCCCCAAGACCGTCTTGGAAGGTGAAGCCAGAGAGTGGCGGAGAAAGTTAAGAG